CAAAAGGAAATCTTGTCATCCTTCTCTTAAAAATATCCTCCAGTTCCAGAATGTGTGTCTTGTTTCCACAAATACTCCCCCAATCTCATCCCCTTTTACATATTGCAGTAGCCTCCAGGTCAACCAACCCACATCACATGCCTGCCCTTTATTCTGCTTTTTTTCTTTGTAGAATGTCACCTGTGGCTGAAATTACATTACATAACCATTGGTATTTGATTTGTTTCTTTATTGAAGTGTAAACTTCACAAGTTTAATAATTGCTCACCAAGATTTGTAATATGTTTTCAATCAATGGTCAAATTTAATTACTGGGTTTCTACTGCCTTTAATAAGGCCTGCCACAAAGTTTGCGTGAAGTAAACATGACGTTGAGTGAACTAAAAAAATGTACTTTAGCCACATCTATTCGATTCGTTGCTGTGCACTGATTCCTGCCATCTGAACTGCGTTCTCCCATCCTCCCCGTGCCTTTCACTAGGTCGGTCAGCCCTTCGTTTATAAATTTTCTCTTGTAAGTCTGGGAGTTTACACATTTTACATCTAATCTTCTAATGCTTACCTGTAAATAACAAATATTGTCTGGAGTCCATAATTATCTAGAATTAATAGCATCATCTGGAATTATCTTTCCTCTCTTCCCTCCGCAGCCTGAGAACTCTATTGCCCTCTGAGTTCCTCTCACTTGCCTCTGTGGATGATTTAATTTAAATTTTAAATATTTAATATTTATTTTAATGCAACCGTAGTTTTTTGCTATTGTGTGACTCATTGTCTTATGCATCTCGCTTCTTTCTTCCTCTTTTACCTCTACCCTTACTTCTTATAGGGATTTCCCACACCATTGTGCGGCAAATTTTATGAGACTATGTATATACATACATTTACATATGTGTGTGTGTGTGTGTATATATATATATATATGTACACACTAGTATACACACACACACACACACATACACACACATATATATAAATGTCTTTAAGCAGATGTAAAAAAATAAGATAAAACAGATGTCAGCAAGCTTTTAAAAAATGACCCCAGTAGTAAATATTTTGAGCCACGTGGTCTCAGCTGTGTGGATGAAACCCCCAAACAACCACAGTTCACCAAAGCAGATGAACGAATGGACATGACTGTGTTCCGACACAATCTTATTTGTAAAAGCAGCATGCTGGGCCACTGGCTAGTTTTTGCTGACCCGTTTAACCATGCAGTTTGTGTCTGGGTATAAAGTTTTAGGTTCAAAGTTATTTTCCTTAGATATGGAAAATCCTTGCTCCAAGTTCTTCCTGTATCTGCTGCTGTTTTCAAGAAGCTTGAGGTCTGTCTGATTCTTTTTTCTTTTGTAGATAAACAGTGTAGATAGACCTTCCTGGAAGGTTTTAGAATTTTTTTTTTAATTTTAGTGATGAAATTTCTTTATGGATTTTCAACTGTCAGCTCCTCCAAATGTCTATCAAAACCCAACCTTTTGATAAGGCAAAGCTACGTTTATTAAACTTCCTGCAGCAGGGACACCATCACCTTGAGAGAGTCTTAGCTGGGGAATCTGGGGAGGATGTTTAGGGGTGCTGGGTCAGAACACCTGGAGCTTCAGACAAGCCTGTCCTGGTGGGGGAAGTCCAGGGGATAGGCCAAAATTTATAACTCAAAGTTTGGGATTGGAGGACCCAGTGAAGCAAGGTGCACCAAGCAAATATTGACTTGCAAATCTTTTGATAAATGATCTTTTTGCCCAGATGAAAGCATCATTGTCCTTCGAGGGAAATTATTTGTCTAGATGCACAAACTATTTGCCCAGACAAATTGGTTTGCAGGAATTTCCTGAAACCAACAGCAGTTATTTGTTGATTTATAGGTTTATCTTATCTTTCTGGGAAAGGATTTC